CCCGTTGGGGACTCACCCATTGTGGGCTGGGGTAGCCCCACTCCTTGGCCATGGTCGGGCCTCGCTGGTGGCTGCCTGCCCGCTGTCTGCAGAGTCCGCCGTCTGCAGAGGCCCCGCGCTGAGCGCCTTTTATCCAGCTCCCCACACCCTGCATGGCCTTATTAGGTCAGCAAGGAGGGCGGGGGGCTAGGCTGGCTGGGGTGGTATTCAGGAGGCGGGGTGGGGGAGCCAATGAATGCCAAGGGCTGACAGCTGTCGGGTGGGGTGGGCGGAGGTCCCCGTGCCACCCCCGCTCCCGTCCCATCCCCTGGAGCTGCGAGGCTGCCCCGCCCCCGATCCTGGGCACAGATGCGGCGCCTTTCGCCTGGTGCCCCCTCCCCTGGCACCATGCATTATTTTGGGGGTAAACAGGGTGTTGCAGTCGCGCTCAGCCGCCACCTAAGACACCCCCTCCCCCGGGCGCTGGCGGCGGCTATGCGCTCCGGACCCCGTGATACCCTAGAAGGAAGCGCCTGTTGGCCAGCGGTGCGGGCTCCCTTGCAGGGACTTGAAAAGTTCTAGGAGCACGGGCGCGGGTGGGAGGAAGGCCGGGGAGGGCATTATCCTGGAGCCTGAGGAAGCCGCCTGTCCTGGCGTCCCGCAGACCCGGGGTCCCCTTGGCCAGGAGCGAGCTGGGCTGGACCCTGGGACCACAGCGCGGCAGTGCCTGGGACCCCAGCGCCCCGCTGCGCCCCTGCCCAGGGGAAGTGAGAGCCCTCTGCAGGCTGAAAGGCGTGCACACAGTGAGCCTGCTGCTTGAAACCGCGACCTCGCTCTCTAGGACAAGCCGAGAAATTAGGAGAAAAGGCGCCAGGGGGGTGGGGGGGGGGTCCAGCATTGCGCTGCTTCCCTCCCTCTCCCAAGTTGTTTATAACGAAGATCCAGGCGAAAGGAGAGGAGCTGGCCCCGCAGGGCCACGTGCCAGGGAGATCAATGCCTGCTGTGGTGCACGGGGAAGGAGTCAGTGTGGTCGATATTTATATTCTCAACTGCTCCTTAGTTCCAGGCAGTCGTGATGCAAAAAGACGCCCGAGAGGCACCCGCTGCAGAGCCCTCCCAGGGCTGCAGCCGCAGGTCCTGCTGATCTGACTGCTATGGGCGCTGTTTCGCCCGTGGGATTAGGAAGCTGGAAGAGGAACTCGCATGGGGCTAGCTCATCCCCCAGGCATGTGGAAAGACTGAGCCGCTCATAACCTGGACGCCAGGGAAGTCACTCCCCGGGTATTTTTGTGCCGGGATTACTGGGTCCACACAATAGCCCTGTGGAATCAAGAACCCAGATAGTTCGGAAAATTCAAGCAAACACAGCGAAGCTACTGCCCTTAGACCCAGCTCAGATGTCCGGCTGGGTGAGACAGTCCACGGCATTGGGCTGTCTGGGCCGTTTTCTGCTTTTGCTGGGATAGTGTGTTATCTATCTGGGATAGTGTGGTTGAGGAAGGTGTTTTATATTTGTTGAGGGCATCATTATTTCTATTAGCAAACTATAACCTTGTTCAATTCATTAAATTGTTACAGTCACTTTTTCTGGTACATGTGGTTAGAAGATTGGTAACTGAATTTCATGCTATTTGACATAGTTGTAATACAGATAAAGTGTTTAATATAATAAAGTCTTTATACCAGGCAAACCCAACAATCTAGGAATTCTTCATATTGTTACTGTTTAGGCATAGAAGGAGCTTAAAAATGGATTTTCATAATTAAAGTTAAAAGAATGCACAATGAATAAATAATAAAAGACTTGCACAATAGCACATAATTTCAAATAAACGCTAGGTAAAATATGCAAAGTGAAATATTTAATAATTTTCGGTGTGCCATCTTGAAAAATGGTGATTGGTGTTTTCATTGTACTTTCTTACAAGAAAGTAATAAAATTTGAAATTTCAAGACAATTTAGATGAAATCATGTCAGTTCTGACCACTATACACTTTTCAGAAACCACAAATTAATCATCT